AAGTAGTAGTAGCACAGGAAGAGCAGGAGCTATTTGAGAGATAGGAAGATCTCGGATAAATTTTATCTAATGCTAATTAGATCATTATTGATGATGATGACTCATCATCAATATTTAAGAAACTCTTGGATAGGCTTAAGAAGGAGTAAATCAAAGATTGTGTGCCATATCTCTAATCTATTAAATATTAAGATCAAAAGGAGAAGGAGTAAATTAAGAAGATAATTAATATGCTGAAGAACATAAAAGACCATGAATTCAATTAGAAAGACTATTCCTAGGAAGTATTTGAAGAGATTAAAAAGGAACTGATGAGTAAGATATAAGGTAATAAGAGCATGATGGAGTTACTAAAATTCTTAGTCATTCTTACTAGTATAGATGATCAATTCATCTAATGTGGATCCAATTCACTTCATATGCTGGTAATGATGAAGGTAGATGTCAGAAACCAATCCTTTGAAAATATACGGATCAAGAATACATCTTTAATTGGTGGTAACTTTGTACGATGTGATTTGAATGGATCAGAATTTGAGAATGTGGATATAAGCGGAGTCAATTTTAATGGAGCTTAAATGTTCAATTGTAAATGGAAGAACATAAAAGTCCATGAGTTGAATAAGTTGGATGGTCATAGTAACTAAGTTTGGTCAGTCTGTTTCTCTCCTGATGGAAATACATTAGCTTCTGGTAGTAGTGATAACTCTATTCGTCTATGGGATGTCAAAACAGGATAATAAAAAGCCAAATTAGATGGTCATAATAATTATGTTAGATCAGTCTGTTTCTCTCCTGATGGAAATACATTAGCTTCTGGTAGTAATGATAACTCTATCCGTCTATGGGATGTCAAAACAGGATAATAAAAAGCCAAATTAGATGGTCATACTAGTTGTATTAACTCAGTCTGTTTCTCTCCTGATGGAAATACATTAGCTTCTGGTAGTGATGATAAGTCTATCCGTCTATGGGATGTCAAAACAGGATAATAAAAAGCCAAATTAGATGGTCATACTAATTGTATTAAGTCAGTCTGTTTCTCTCCTGATGGAAATACATTAGCTTCTGGTAGTAATGATAAGTCTATCCGTCTATGGGATGTCAAAACAGGATAATAAAAAGCCAAATTAGATGGTCATACTAGTTGTATTAACTCAGTCTGTTTCTCTCCTGATGGAAATACATTAGCTTCTGGTAGTGATGATAAGTCTATCCGTCTATGGGATGTCAAAACAGGATAATAAAAAGCCAAATTAGATGGTCATACTAGTTGTATTAACTCAGTCTGTTTCTCTCCTGATGGAAATACATTAGCTTCTGGTAGTGATGATAAGTCTATCCGTCTATGGGATGTCAAAACAGGATAATAAAAAGCCAAATTAGATGGTCATACTAGTTGTATTAACTCAGTCTGTTTCTCTCCTGATGGAAATACATTAGCTTCTGGTAGTGATGATAAGTCTATCCGTCTATGGGATGTCAAAACAGGATAATAAAAAGCCAAATTAGATGGTCATACTAGTTGTATTAACTCAGTCTGTTTCTCTCCTGATGGAAATACATTAGCTTCTGGTAGTGATGATAAGTCTATCCGTCTATGGGATGTCAAAACAGGATAATAAAAAGCCAAATTAGATGGTCATACTAGTTGTATTAACTCAGTCTGTTTCTCTCCTGATGGAAATACATTAGCTTCTGGTAGTGATGATAAGTCTATCCGTCTATGGGATGTCAAAACAGGATAATAAAAAGCCAAATTAGATGGTCATACTAGTTGTATTAACTCAGTCTGTTTCTCTCCTGATGGAAATACATTAGCTTCTGGTAGTGATGATAAGTCTATCCGTCTATGGGATGTCAAAACAGGATAATAAAAAGCCAAATTAGATGGTCATACTAGTTGTATTAACTCAGTCTGTTTCTCTCCTGATGGAAATACATTAGCTTCTGGTAGTGATGATAAGTCTATCCGTCTATGGGATGTCAAAACAGGATAATAAAAAGCCAAATTAGATGGTCATACTAGTACTGTCTAGTCAGTCTGTTTCTCTCCTGATGGAAACACATTAGCTTCTGGTAGTTATGATAACTCTATCCGTCTATGGGATGTCAAAACAGGATAATAAAAATCCAAATTAGATGGTCATTCATATGCTAAAATGTCAGTCTGTTTCTCTCCTGATGGAAATACATTAGCCTCTGGTAGTAATGATAACTATATCCGTCTATGGGATATAAAGACAGGATAAGAAATTAAATCCTCTGATAAAAACTACAAAGATATTCTTGCATAATTTAAGATTCCACTCTAATAAAATTCTCCATTATAAGAAGGTACTATTAATTTTTTTAATATTTTTAGAATCCAATTACATCACTACCCTCCTGATATCCTAATAGGCCATATTTTAAGCATAAGGAGCACTAATTTTGAGAGGAGAGTTTATCAATCAATCAGGTATAGATTTAAAGACATTGTTTAAACAATAGGGTAGCTGTATTTTAGAAGACTTTAAGTAAAAATGAATTTGATTATAACCAATAAAAATTATAATCACGTAAAATTACTTTATTTTTAATTATACTTTCATCTTCACTTCTTAATATAGAGACAAGTTTTTCAAAGTTTATTTCAATATTATAAATAGCTACCGTGTTTGTAGAATAGGAAATATTTATTTAGATGTCATATAATCTGGTATCAATTAAGATTTATCACCAAAGAAGAGACTAAAAGAAAGTGTGAAATCATTACTTATAGAAAAGTAAATTAGCAAAACTGTTGCTTCTTAAAATCATCTAAGATATAATGATAGATTTCTTAATTTATTATTATTTAGAATAGGATATGGTATTAATATTTAGTTATAATTAATAGTTTTATAATTTTACTTTTTCAGCTCATAAACAAAAAAGTAATATTTAATACCAAAGATAATAGAAAAGATAAGTAAAGAATAAAAAAAAAAATTAATCCTACAGATAATTAATATAAAGTATAAAAAAGTTAAAACTATGAGATTGAATGATTATTTAAAATAATCTATTCAAAGTAATGTTTCAATAACCATTTATTATTATTTATTAATTGATTCAAGAAAAAAAAAATAAGGTTAATTATGAAAATTACATCTCTAAATTACACAAAAATCAGAGAAATGTTATTCTAAAACTTGTGATTAAGCACCAGATACAATAAATCTCATGATTTTGTGTGAATTATTTGGAAATGAAAATTAGGAATGTATTCAAAAAAAGAAATGGTAGCTGCTTTGATAAGACAAATTCATATAATTAAGTAGAAGTATAAGACGCTTGTCTTATGATTAAATAATAGGATGGAAGTTATTGTATTTGGATATATCCATAATAATTATGTAAAGAAAAGAATGTTTGATCATATTGGCATGTTAAATGCACCATTAATATTGTAATTTTTAATTTATTTATGGATGTACTACTTAATATTTAGATTGTAATCAATATAAATATTAATCGCAGTACGAATCAACTTTACTTATGGGAACTTCTAAACAATGGAATACAAATTCTAAACTTGTAACCTCTCTCATTTAATATAATTAACTAATATTAATAATGGGCTAAGTTTATAGTTAGAAATTTTATAATAAATAGAATGGCGGATGCATTGAACAATTTCATTAAGTAGCTTATTTTATTGGAATGCAGATATAAATTGTTGTGAAAAAACGAACTTGTATGTATGCTAGTATTGCAATTCTCAATATACCCATATGTCATCTTTTTATATGATGAACATACTATCTCTAAAATATTACAATTAATAATCATTAAAAATGTAGATAATTGTTATTGATTTGTTAATTAAATTAATTTGGATTTTGATGTGAAATTGATTATGGTGCCTATGAATTATGTACAGATATATCAGAAACAGAATAGTTTAATACTCAATGAATGCTAAGCTTGAAATCCATAAGGCAGATTAAAATTTGGTTCAAACTCTACAAATAAATTAGAATGTAATAACTATTTAACAGAAAAAGAATGCCCAATTCATTTTAGTAATCAACCATGTAAATGGGATGGAATTTCTTGTGTATCTAAAAATTGGAGTGATTGTCCATATATAGCTGAATTATCTGTAAATTAAAGTTATTATTTAAATCATTAAATTTCTTATCTTTCACTTAATTAGAAACTGTTCTCCAACTTCCTATTTGAACTTTTTTTTATTTTTAATGTTTCTGGATTATTTCAACCTAAAAGATTGAGTGCACAGAAAAAAATAGTAGAAGATTGTATTAATTTAGCAGGTTTTAAATGCTTGATGATTAACACTAATTGTGTAGATGAAAAAAAAATGAATTGACTTTTCTACTTCATAGTTGTAGATATGTAGATCTTCATAATGGATTTACATTTCAATATTTTTAAGGAGTTTGTATTAAGACCCCTTTAAGTTGTAATTATCATACTCAGAATGAATGCAATTATTTAATAAAAAATAATAATGACCTTATTTAATGGGATGGTAGCAATGTCAAATCATATATTCATCAAAAAATTCTTAAGGGGACTGTAAAAATTAAATCGTATTATTTTATCATTTTAATTTAGAGGCTTAATTAACTAAATTGAAAGAATTTTTCAAATAACTATAAATTAGATTTTATATAATTTGCACGCTGTACCATACATTTTTAAGTGTTTGGAATTCTTCTACCAAGCTCTAACATGAACGAAGAATTTAGCTCTACTTATTTATACATTTTGGTTTGATTCTTGCATTTACGATTAAAACAAGAAAGCCTGTATTTATGCAAATTCTTGCAATTATGAAAGTTCTGAACTTTTATTAAACAAGGCTTCATACATCACAAAAATTAATAAAAAAATTTTGTTTTTTGGAATAAAAATGTTTTTTGTTCTGATATCACAGCTTGTTCTTAAATTAAAAATTCTACATCTCATAGAATTTGTCATGATAATTATCCACTTGTACATCGTAAAGTTTTGAAATACCATTATTTTGCAAATAGATTTAAGGTGTTAATATTTTGTTTAGGCTTGTTAGCTTTATAAAAGTTTGGAGAATTGAATATTTGATTATAAATTAAATAAATTTAACCTGAAAATAAATATAAATAGATATGTCAATCATTCATACAAAGAAATAAATAAAAAAATGTTAAAATCAATTAAGATTTGTTAATCTCTTTTCCCAAATCATAAAATTTCAATCTACAAATAAACCTATTCATGTATTAATTTACTTAAATGTAATGAATATACTCATGTTTTGCACGTTATAAGTTCACATTTTTTATTTTTTTTTAATAATAATACGATATTTCAATTATTTGATATAACTTTTGTATTGGATTGATAATAAATGAATATTTTATA